GCACATATTCATATATTCGTGTTCACTGACCTTAAAAACAATTGATTTCAAAAGAAATTAATAAGGCAGAACACGAATATATGAATATGTGCCCCCCCAATTATCGAGTTTGCTACGCCACTGGGAAGAAGCGAAGTTAATTAAGTGTACGGCTCGTGAAAAGCACGCCTGTTTGAATCAAAATTAAATACACGCCTATTTTAGTCGACTAAAATGTGAAATTTAATTTTAACTTAAAAGTTCGGATCATGAAAAGTACGGCGTCTAAACTGGGCCTAAGATATGCAAATTTCGTACATTTCAATATTGTACTCATATAGCAAATGATTCCATCACAAAATATAATCACACAAATAATATATACATATACGACTCTTGTCTTGGTGCCTCGCACTGTACACTTTAGCTCGTGAAAAGCACGGCTGTTTGAAACAAAATTAAATATACACGCCTATTTTAGTCGACCTGGATCATGAAAAGTATGGCGTCTAAACCTCAGATAAGCAAGCTTCATACTTTTCAATATACATATACATGCAACTCTTGTCTTGGTGTCTCGCGCTGAACACTTTAGCTTATAATGATACAACTTTAATAATATACCTACATGAAAAAATATTCAACTATGACTATGGCAAAGAGCCGGTGCAATTTTGTCGTAATACAATGCCAAAATGCAACAGAATTTCACACCATTCTTTTATGATTGGCATTGTGAAGAAAACACAAAATTGCCAAATAAGATACTTTGCCAAACTTGCTTCGTGCTTGAGATATTTAACAATTTTTGATATTCAAATTATCTTCACTGTATGACGTTGCATTGCATAATGACTTCCTGCCAAAAATGTCAAGCTCTTGGGATATTGTGCATCGAGGTCATATGTATATATGGGTTATGACAACATACTACAAATCAATGTTAAGGCCCGTTTATACTTACGATTTTTGCTGCGATTTCAGATGCGATTTTCTTCTCCTGATGTATGTGAACGAATGGATGAGTTAGGATGAGGGACAATGAGGGATGATGACGTATAAACTCGTATATGCATGATATATATCAACTTTTATAATATAGCATTTTTAAACTTCATTGGCTAAGAGCCGTGTTGATATAACTCAATGTCAACACGGAAACGTCGGAAAATTTCTTTCTTTATTTTCTTTGTGCTATATTATAAAACAAATATAAAACATTTTTTCCGTATTGATATACAGTTATATCAATTAACACTCGTGGAAATTGGGAAAACTCGAAATTGTGTGAAACACGACGCCCGAGCGCGACCCTTCGGGCGTCGTGTTTCCACACAATTTCTCGTTTTCCCAATTTCCACTCGTGTTGATATAACTGTATATCAACACGGTTATATCAACACGAGTGGAAATTTATATTTGTTAAATATATGATGATGATATATGTATAAACTTATATATGATAATGTATAAACTCGTATATATATGAGGGATGATGACGTATGTACAGGTACTCAGAGCATTCATAAGGTATTTCACATTTATCAGAAGAAAATCGCCCTAGAAATGGCAGCAAAAATTGCAAGTGTCGACATGTAAATAAATCATCTATGTATAGGTAATCATGCGATGGCGAGTACAATTAGGGATTAATAGTATACGAGTGATGTTTGAAAATTTTGCCAAAATTGGACGAGCCGCCGGGGCCATCAATTAATTAAATAATTGTACTCCTCTCAACCAATCAGCATCCAGTAATTTTGTCATGTTAATAATAAATAGGGTTATAAAAGTTTTTTTCAAAAAATGATGCAATTTGAGGATATAATTTTCGTATCAAACACTGTTAAATATCTCGGAAAAAAGCAAAGTTATTTTGAATTTTCATTGCAGTGCAATAAAAAAATGGTCTTTTAACACGTCATTGAAATGATCTCACACGCATATTTCGTGCAGTATGCAAATGACCATGAATATATTGCTGCATATTTTTTCATGTAAACTATTAATAAGTAGTATATTTATTTTCGTGAGGTTTTCAGAAGACGTCAAATTTTGAACTTTAATTCTTTGAAAAACTCACTCGTACATGTTGTTTTCTCAAATTGCCCTCGAAACCATCCTATTACCTACTGTATATAATTTATACAGTTATGCATTATAATGTGTTCAAAATTTAATATAGATTTTTACCATACTATTATACCCTTGAAATCAAACACATATCATTCCTCTTCAATTTATTCTTGCGTTAGGTAAGTTAGATATATAAATTAAAACGTTTATTATTTGAAAAAGGCGTTGATGGATTTCCTAGCGATTAAACTTTGATTGGTCCCAATCAGCGGTTTCAAATTACAAACTGAACTATGATAAAGTTATCAAATAATATTCGCGTGGGACCAGCCCCCGCTCTCGGTATCATCATAACCAACACGGCGATATGATCTGGAAACTCGACAAGCTTCAAAGCGTCTTTTATATGAAATAATTATGAGTGTTACATGACCTACAAAAAAATCTCCTCGAAATATTTCAACGAGTTCGGTGACTCAACGAAATCACTTCACTGTACAAAACTTCGCATAAATATGAACCAAAATATCGAACAAAGACATTGTTTGCCGAGTTTTCAGACCAAATCCTGATCAACTACGGTATAAATATTTAACAATAACTTGTTTGCTCGACCGAGTTCTTTCTCAAGGTGCACGGTAGTTCAACATTAGCACCGCTGTCAATACTACTGCGCCCGCGGTTTACTACACCAATTTCTATTGGGTCAGTCTCGCTTTCGTTCACTCTGACTTCTGTATCTTCTTTTTGGGGTATCTTTTCGTCTTCTTCCGACGTTTGTGTTTCTTTCTGTGGTGGTAATACATGGGTTTCCTGTGGTTCGTCGTCAAACACTGGTACGTCATCGGCATCACTAACCTCTGTGATCTTGCTGGCCTCTGATTCTCTTCGCTGAAAATAGGTTAAAATGTATACTAAATCACGGATCAGCACAAATTGAAAGCTAAGATGAACCAGTTCAATTTACATGATCATTTCAAAATATAGTCGGCAAACTCGTTGATTTATTGGTGGAATTTCGTGATTAAGAGAATTAAAGGAAAAAGAAAAATATTGTGACTCAAGCATAATTAAGAACTATTTATAAAGCAGATTAATTCGGAAAAAACACATAAACAAATGCAAAATTAAACTAACCATTTCCTCTTCTTTGATAATTTCCAATTCCCGCAAGGCTTGCGTAAATTGTGGTCGATCCTCGGGCTTTATCAACCAACATCTTTCCATTAACTGATAACTACAGGTATTAATTTAATGCTAGCATTTATTTATATTGATATTATTTAAACGAAATAATATATTCTCATCTATAACATATGAAAAACAACTTACAATGAATCGGGGCAGTTCTCAGGCTGTGCCATCCTGAAGCCTTTCTTTAGATATTTCTCGAGCAGTTCACTACCATCAGTAATTCCTGGATAGGGATTATGTCCTAAATAAAAAATGGATCATCAGTCAGATGAAGGATATACCGCCATTCTGCACGACCGGTAGACTAAATAGTGCAGCCTTTTTCACTGGTCAAAGCATATAAAGTTAAATATTGTTATTATTAAATATTGTTATTAAATATTGTTAATATTGTTATTGTTAAGTATAGGTAATAGCATGGTTTCGAGTGCAATTTGGGTATAACATGCACGAGTGTGTTTTTCAAAGACCTCAAAATAGCACGAGTCCGAAGGACGAGTGCTATTTGAGGTCTTTGAAAAACTCACGAGTGCATGTTTATCCAAATTTCACGAGAAACCATGCTATTACTTATTAATAATAAGTTCTTTGTATGTTTGCATGGTGATAAAATATAATAGGTTTTGTTTGTGGAAACACCACGTAAATTTATTACTGCAGTAATAAATTTACGTGGTGTTTCCACAAACAAAACCTATTATACTTATTAATAATTTACATAAAAACGTTCGAGAATCTAGTTTTAACTTACGCGTTTATAGCGAACATTCCACTGGCAAAGTTTTCCTGGCTTTGTTATATCACATAATTATACAACGCTAACAGCTTGAAAATTCCACTCAACTATGTAATTTTTGCTAGTCTTGTTTACGGTAAATGCTTTTGCATTTAAAAATAAAGATAAAAGGCATATTTTCCACGCGAAGGCAACTTTTACTTTGTGTAGCGCGGCGCCATGTTTGTTTTGTTTTGAAGCAATCTATGACCTTTACTAATTCTTTAAACTAAATTGCTTTAAACTGATTGGTTGATTTAATCATCACAATGTTTTTCCACCAATCAGATCAGTTTGTTACAGCTTTTTGCACTGTGATTACAGAAAATTGCACTGTGATTACAAAAAATTGCACTGTAATTACAGAAAATTGCACTGTGATTACAGAAAATTGCACTGCTGTTTGGGATTAACTGCACTGAAATCAACCAATCACAGTCGAGTAATATCTTTATGCATGTATATTATTAATATTGTTATTGCTATTTCATATAAGTTAAATATTGTTATATAAGGGATCAAATTCCGGGATGAGGAGGAATCAAAACATCAAACTTACCGTCCATGTACAACTCCCACAGCAATATGCCAAACGACCACCTATTGGTATAAAGTAAAAAAATATTGACGTCGAAACCAGACTGCCAAAATTTTTACTCAAAAACTTGAGTATGCAGCCACAGTGTCCGGCAGCACCGTTGCCAGGAATTTTTTAACAAAATATCTTCACAGCAAATCTTCTTACATCTTGTCGAAAATTTTTATCATCTTATATGCATTGCTGGGATGCCATATCATTTACTTATTGTTTACAAAAGCATTTTGCAAGTCGATTATTGAAATTTATTAGGCTATACTGCGAGGCACCATACGTTCTCTGAAATCTCAGATATGCAGGAAGTTCTACATTTCACTTAGACAGGAAAGTTTTGTTTTTGGATTTTGCTGCCAGGAAGTAAATCTTTACTTAAAACATTGAGTAAATTTGAAACTTTACTCAAAACATTGAGGAAATGTATCTTTTCCTCAAAATTTCGAGTCACTGCACGCGTGGGTGGATAATTTTACTCAAATTTTTGACCAAAATACTGAACCGTGTATTTTGTCGAATTGGTCTCTATTGAGAGACCTTTGTTTCAGTATACAGTATGTAGACAGAGAAAGGGAAGTGGTACTAAAAAATACCAATTCAATTCAGTCAATGAAATTACCAGATTGGAAGAACGAAGGAGAGATCATTGTATAAACTTGGTTAGTGATTTATCAGAAGAAGAGCACAAACTTCACCACTTGCTCCCACCAAGGAAGTGTCAGATAATAACAGGAAATACCAGATCTAATAAAGATCTTTTTTATAATTTTAATAGTAGAACAAATAGATTTAAATTCAGTCCAATACCGTATGCTGTAGACACTTTTAACTCTAGTAACAATGGATGATGTTTTATCTAGTAACTAATCTTTGTAAATTGCATAGTATTTTAGCTTTGTGTTATTGTATGCGATATTTTAAACCAGTTTAATAATAATAAATAATAATAATAATTCAAAGACGCAATGGGGAGCGCTGATTTCGAAAATTTTCCTTCCGAACCTTAATCAGCCTTTTATAAACGTTTCAGCCTAGCTCCCAGCCAAATACCCTCATTAAGGGATGTTCCTCTAATTAAATGTGGGAACATTCTGATTGGTATGCAAAAAGCAAAAACACTGTAACCTACATATCACTTTTGATTGTGTAAATTGATGACTCAATCGCTTCAATTGCCATCCATCTCACTGGTAGAAATCCCTAGAAATGAAAATATATAAATTAATTAAAAATAATGTTAAATTGTGAATTATATTATTTTACACTGCAAAAAGTTTGCTGAGTATTTTGACTCAAAGACAAAAAATTTCATGAGTATAAAATTACTCAGATTTATGAGCAAATTTTCTCAATTCGTTTAGTAAAGTTTCAATTTACTCAATTGTTTGAGTACAGATTTTAATTCACAAAAAAAATGAGTAAATGTGCTAATAAATCTAAGAAATCTACGCAATATTTTAAAGTCATGGTCACTGTGGTTATATTTTGCTCACGTTTTTTAATCAATTTTTGCAGTGTAATAATAGAATATTCAAGATTTTAAGCCCACAATTATTTCACACAACCATTAATAGTTACCATTTTTTTAAATTTTTTATTTCGCGGTGTGGCCATGGGTGCGCCGACCTCAATACAATGAGTCATATATAATTAGGTAATATAAGCGTATTGTCTGGGTATAAGTATATCCTGTTATGTATATTTGCGGCAAAGTTCAAGAACACCGCATGTTTGTGAAATAAAGTGTAAATAATAGCATGCCCTTAAAGAAGAATTCAGGGGAGGAGTTTTATGTGGGTTCTATTAAGACACGACTTTTGCATTAAAGTATGTATTTCCGAGTTTTAGAGTTTTGGTAAAGATGAAATAATTATCAGTTGCCAAACATGCGGAAGCTTGTTGAAGACTCTTTGTCTTGTTGAAGACTGTTTGTCTATAGACGAGTATTTTACCAAATTTTGGAAATCAGACAATTTCTTCTGAAACAGATGACTATTTTAGGAGCAATAATTCAACTTTAAAGTTACCATAATGTATGGACATTTAATATAAACACTTCTGATGCAAATTACGTCTCGTCAATAATATAATATTGTCGTTATATTGACTTTCGCTTGATCATTGACATTGTTTACAAGAACGTGTCGACAGGCATTCTAACATGGAGTCTCCAAAAATTAACAAACTGATAAACTAAAACAAACTGAACTAATTTTACTTGTACAGAACAGCTCTATATAGCTGTCCTTGTATTTTTCAGGTAGTTGTATCCCTATCAATCCGAAGCTGCATGCATGTTCAAGATTATACAGTATAGAATAGCTCTAGGCGTAATACACCGTATTCGTTCAGTGTCACTACATAAGAAAACAGGAGAAAAACTATGCGATATTTAGTATTGTATTGAAACAATCCTGCATGTCATTACGTATAGAATTACCATTGTGGAGCGGTCAACATTTTTCCCACGTCGGTCCTTTTGTGATTGACTGTTGAGCGTTTACAGGAGTCGCGAAGCGAGCTGCTTCGAAGTTTCATTCAAAGTTGGAGTAACTGTAAACTCCAGGCTTCATGCTCATCATCCCCATTACTGCTCATTTGAACAAACTTGATATCACATCCTACGTGACGGTACTTTTTATAAGGGCCCTATATAAGCCTGGTTTATATTCAGCCCTTGTAAGTAACGTAACGACACATAATTTGACGTAATTGCTTGACTTTGGCCATTTTGGGTGGCAAATGATTGAGCAAAACATTTTGTTCTGGCGAATTCGGACAACTGTGGTACAAGAATAAGAAGGTAGAGCAGAAGTGTAACTCGAGTCGGTTCCCTTATTGTTTTACGTACACGAAAATTTTAATTCGCTCACGCCATCCTGGCTAGTACAACCGGACGTTTAAATCAGGTTTTGGTAGGTACAAAGTGCCGGTTGTACTAGCCAGGATGGTGTGATTGATGACGAATTGCTTGTAAAAACGCGGACAAATACTTGCTTGAGTTAGACTTCTGCTGTCCTTCTTATTCTGTGACTGTGGCATCCGTTGCTGTCCTATAGATGCCACCCAAATCGGGCGATGATGTCCTAGCGTGACGTAATACTCCCGCGAGACTGCAAGACTTGAATTGAATATATAAATACATATATAAATAGAGAGCATTCGGAGACCACATACCTCGGCCGAGCGTGTTTGGAAGGGAAGCTGAAGTGGAGAGCCTGGCTTGCGAGGAATTAAGTTATCTGTTATGCTAAATACGCATTAAGTTTACATCGAACTGTATCCCTAGTTATTAACGGTCAAAAACCACAAAATGGGGGAAAAAGGGGCTACAGAATACGGTTGTTTAGCAGGTTTAACCTTATAAAAGTGAACTTTTGAATTTCACTTTTTTATAAGATGGTAAATACAGTAGGTGAATGGTAGGAAAACCCAAATTTTGTGGCAACATATGTAATGCCCCTATTAAAGCCAAACTATGTCCTTAGGGTATACCTAACATTAGGTCAAGTTGTGTGTTTTTATCATCTCAAATGCACAATTGTTCTTTAATTTTCACCAATCTGCTCCATTATCTAACTATTTAGAATTAGTATACAGTAAATAAAGAAGCATTACCGCAGTTTCTTTGACATACAGTCCCCTTAGGTAAACATCTTTCGCCATTCCAAAATCGGAAATCTTAGCCACTTCATTTTCATCGAGAAGAATATTTCTCGCAGCCAAGTCACGATGAATGATCTAGAATAGTTAAATATATACGCTACATAATTATTATCGATTAATAGTCACGAGTTGCCAACCAAATTATGGCTTCAAAATATTACCAACCTGTCTCTGTCCAAGGAAAATCATTCCCGTACAAATCTCTATAGCTCTTTGTAATTTCCAACGAAAGTCCAACTTTGGTCCGCTGACATTCACATAAGCATTTGAACTGTCTCTGTTCTTCTGTAGATATTTTAGAAGGCTACCGTTGGCACAGTATTCGACCACAACGTACAGGGGACCTTGATTGTTCAGAAAGACGTGTTAAAATTAGGTGAGTGGAAAGTAATTTAATATTTATGGCGAACAAACAACAATGACAACAGCAACAATATATAGCAACAAACAACAACGACAATGACACATGGATACGATGACCACAACAACAACGGCAGCAGCAACAACGACGACAACAACTATGACAGCAACGACAACTACTGTACGACAACAACGTCAGCGATCACGACGGCAACAGCAGCAACAACAGCAGCAGCAACAAGAAAAACAACAACAACAGCAGCAGCAACAACAACAGAAACAGCAACAACAACAGTAGCAACAACAACAACAACAACAACAACAGCAACAACAACCGCAACAACAGCAGCAACAACAACAACAACAACAACAACAGCTACAGCAACAACAACTACAGCAACAACAGCAACAGCAACAACAACAACAACAGCAACAACAGGAACAACAGCAACAACAACAGCAACAACAACAACAACAACAACAACAACAACAACAGCAACAACAACAGCTACAGCAACAACAACAACAGCAACAGCAACAGCAACAACAACAGCAGCAACAGCAACGAGGACGACGAACAATGCACAAAAACAACACAACATCACAAAAACCAAACGCCATTTTTCATGATGATTCTTATTATTTGGTTCTCTATATATCTTTCTATATATTTGATTTGAATATATATTTGTAACATTCATAGGAAAGTATTTAGATTTATCTTAATACATTATAAATACTAAGCTACTTTACAATTACTTCAAAATGAAGGAAACGGAAACATACTATTTTCATCCATACATCCTCCAAGCAAACTGACCACATTGGGATGATAAGGGATCTGGTAGAGCATCTGGAGTTCTTCAAATAGTTCCCGTTCATCCTCCACTGTTCCCCTGCCTGAATGATAAAATTAAATGATAATAATAAGCAGTACAATTATACCAAAAATCAAGAAAACCGCGCAACAACTAATCCGCAACACGTCATAAACTGTTTACTTAATATTTTGTATTCTCGAATGCAGAGCATGTTTGGATAGCTTAATTATGGCTTATGTAATATACTTATATACAATATATACAGCGTCAGTACTATAACAGATATACAAACACGTGCTGAAAGTTATTGATGCACTATATATTTAAAACATGAGCAGCAGTGTTTTATCAGATATAAAGATACGAGGCGAAGCCGAGTATTCTTAGGTCTGATAAAACACGCACTGCGAATGTTTTAAATTGCTTCAAAAACGATCGATCTAGTAATTAGTTCATTGGCGAAGTAATTTTCAAAAAATACGTTATGTAAGTCGAGAAAATCAAAGTTAAAGTTTATGTAAATCAAGGGAAATCTCTATCACCTATAAAGATACGACACGCGCGCTTATGATTTTACTTTGTGTTTTCCTCATGAATTATTAATGAGGTTCGAAGTGGCATTTTAACACTAGCACAAATTAAAACAAAGGGAAATCTCTAGATTTTGAAGGGTAATATCAAGCTTTGCGCATCTCCCTCGATAGAATTAACAGTTGAAGGTTTTTGGAGAGCGGAAGAGTATAAACGATTTTCAGATCAAACTTGTGGTTACGGCTCGACAACTGGACTCTGTAGCTCAGTTGGTTAGAGCTCTGCACCGGAATCGCAGGGTCGTACGTTCGATTCCTACCAGAGGACCTATAGTTGCATATATGGCAACTGCTCCGGTTAAGTCTGAAAATTGTATATAATCGTCCGCTCGAAGTTATTGATGGCAAGCCTACCACGTATCATCTTCACAGCGCATTTCTTTCTGATTCCACTAATTGTTGCGTAAGCCAATTCCACCTGACCAAACTGTCCTCGTCCAAGCATCTTGTTTGTGAAATCTATTGCCTCAATAGGGATGTGTTTGTCAAAATTGAACAGCATTTCTGCGCGGGATATAGGACGGTTTGGGGACTTTGAGCGTAGTGGAGAATTCTGACCACTCTCGTTGTTGCTGGAGGTGCGGGTGTTGTGGTTATTGTTGTTGTTGTTGGTAGTGGTGGTGGTGATGCTGGTTGGTCTGGTGTTTCGTTCTATGAGGTTTGTTTGGCTCAAATTTTGCATTCTCATATAGCCATCTATGGTTTCTTCTTTGACCGGTACAGCAACATTTTGACCAGAGGTGGATTCACCAGTGTCCTATATCATGAAAGATTAGAAAAATAGTCATATCATCATTGGTTTATTTGGATTGCTAGATGGGCAAATCAACAAACGTTGATCACTCTATTTTTCCTAATGTCATAAATCCAGTCACAATATTTTCGCTATATATAGAAATCCAGGTAAACGCCATTTCTTATTTTATAAAAATACTGTGGTATTACCGGTACACAGTTTCTAAAAACACTCTGGTTAACGTTTGCAAGGGACCCTGGTTATTTATCGATCTAACATAGTCTGATTAATTTCAGGGACGTCGCGAAGGCATCAACATTCGGGGGGGGATCGCTATGTTTTGACTACTTTTTCCTAGAATTTCGACCAAGTCGTGGAAATGTTCCCGAAAACGTTGTCGGCGGGGGAGGGAGGTGCAAAAAAATTTTCCGGATTAACATAAGCAAATCTTCAATATTTTTTCGACCGAAATAACCAAGGATTGCAACTTTTCAACGCAAACATAACCAAAGCTTAGAAATTGTTAAAATTGTGAACGATTTCATAACTTTGAGCAACTTTGACCATCTTTTATCTCCTCAAACTTTGACCAAATTTTACCAACTTTGACCTTCAATTTGAAGCAAATATTTTCCATTTTGACAAACTTTGACCAACGTTTTGAATTATTGGGGTTGTTACTCGGTAGCGACGTCCCTGGTTAATTTAATAACCGGAAAGTCCAAGAAAATTGACCAGGAATATTAAGTTAATCCAAATAGGGTTATTTTTAAGGTTACCCACGAGATTCAACCAGGTATTTTACCTGGAGTGTTTTTAGAGTGTACTACGGGGGGAGGGGGGGGGGGCTAAACAAAGACTACTTCATGAATTTGTACTAGAAACCTCTATACATTCTAAATTGCTATCACTAGAGATTCAGTAGAGGCCATAGTGTTTTTCGATCCTGGAAGGAGAACCTATAAGCCAGTTTTCCACAATTCCACTTCAATCGTAACGAAACGTAGCGTATCTCTTTGTTTCCTGAGCGCTAGAGTGGAACTAATGACTTCGACAAAAAAGAAAATGCTACGGTACGTTACGTTACGATAGGTGGAAAACTGGCTATAGTCTCCAGTGTTTGGTAAAGCCAAACTATAGAAGTGCTTCTTCCAACTAAATAGATCTTAATAGCAAAGTCTTTGTCCTTTACTGAGTTCGTTTTTTCATACCCTTCGTTCTTCAGACTGTCCTTCTGTAGTTATCACATCGGGCACATCGTCATATCCACTTCTGTTAGGACGATGTTTATGTTTCCAAACTCTCAATCCGACCAAGATAATGGTGACAAACAAAATCAAACTGGCACATATGATGATAATGATAATACCGACAGAGAGCGGACCACCTGGAAAAAGCAAAATGAGATTCAGTTGGGTTTTTGCCAGCCTGTATAGTTAGAAAGAGAAAAATATTGTTCAGGCTTGTTATTGGTTAGTTAACCGGGCACACGACGTTGTTTCAGCGTTGAAATTTGGTAGAAAAAGGTTGCGACGTCGACAACCTAATATCTACGTTGCTCTGACGTTGTTTTACAAACATTGGTTCAACAGCAGCCAGCAGACGTTGAATTAACGTTCATTCATGGTTAAATGTACGACGTCGATTTGTGAACCAATCTCAACGTTGTTTTAACGTGAATTCAACGTTGAATTATGGTTGACGAGATTGGCAACCTAATTTCAACGTTGTTTCAACGTCGAAACAGTAACGTCGATCCAATTTGCATAGTCAACCCTTTTTCAACGTTTATCCAACGTCTGGAAGATCATTTCCAACGTTGATTCAACGTTGGATAAACGTCATTTTGCCCGCTGGGTTACTTGTCCATGGTTATTTGTCCATGGAAAGTGCTGACGCATAGCATATGATTGCAATGAGCGAGCGAGTTTTGTGAAAACCTACGATACAAAAGCACTTCCCAAGAACAAATTTGTTTATATTATAGATACTGAGATTTTCCTTTCATTAAAATACGTGAATCAATTCGTAAAACTCAGTATCTATATATAATAAAAGTATTTACTTGGTTCGCAATTGTCCCGGCCAGTCTCTCTTTCCATCTTCGCTACATCACCTTTTTGACTGTCGTTTTCCCTTTCAAGATCTTTGACTGAAAATGTAGAAATGATATAGGGTTCGTACAAAACTTGAAAGTCCTTAAATGTCCTTGAATTTAAAAACAAAAATTCAAGATTCAAGAGGCTTTAACGGCACTATTTCATTAGATTAATTACAAGCAATTATGGAATAGATCATAGAACGAAAAGAAAAAGGAAGATAAAATCAATATAGTGTTAGTGCACAGTGGTCAAAGGAGCATAGCTTTCTAGTTGACCACTGTCTACTATTTCATGATATTAACTAAATGAGATAAGCCAAAAGAAACGAAGGTCTTGAATATGCTTGAATTTCCTTAAATTCTTCTTTCTTTAGTTCATGGACATTTTCTGAAATTGTTTGACATTCAAAACGGACATTTTGTTGAATTGCTTGGCATTTTCATATCTGATAAAGCTGTTTGAAATTCATTAAAGTTGCGCCCTTTTTGAACAATTCAACGTCACATTTTACTGATTTCTAACGCCTTACTCTTCAGTATTTGGTCCATGAATAGTTGAATTTGCTGATACATGGCCTCGAATGTCCTTGAAAAGTCCTGGAATTTGACTCTTCCTTACACCATGATGTACGGATTAACCCTGCCTTCAACAACTTCAACAACTCATATGAACAGGCCCTTACTTACCACATGTTAGGTTTCTCAGGGTATATTCCTTCCTACAGCACGGTTCGTAGTATAGATGTTGATCTTCACAACACGCTTTCTGATCTACCACGTAGAACGGTGCCGACATATCGTCATTGCGAAGTCTTAAGAATCTTTCAACCTCACGAAATTTGTCGGAACCTTGATCTAACATGTTTTCTGCACATAAATATGCCCAATGTTTTGTCAAATTTTTTTTGGGTTCGATTTTGAATACCAGATCAAGTCTTGTCTCATTAAGCGCGCGACTTGAGGTGAATGTAACGTTTTGTAAAGTCACTGTAGTTTCATTGCATCTGAATTTCGGGGTTGATAAATCGTACGGAACGATTAAAATTGGGATGATTTTTTTTAGATCTTCCATGGTGGGTGGTTTGTTTTCTTCATGATATTTTGCAGTTGCATTGAGAAAGAACAAGCGACATTTTTCCGGAGGTAGCTCGTCTAGAATAAAAAGCCAAAGGAAATATTTGGTATTAATTAAAAACAGTAATGCATTGAGCACTCTGCGGAGTTGTTAATGGGTGTCTATTAGCGCTAATGCAAAGCTCACTTCCCTTGTGGTCGTTTGAGCACCCTGGCCCCATTACGCTCTGGGCATGTCTGGATGCGTTGAGTCACCGTGTTGTACCACATGCCTTGGTGAGAGCAACTTCATGGGATATAAATATATAATAATATACAGCTATTTCAATTAAGGTTGTCCCCCGAGCAAAGCGGAAAAGTCGAATACGAGCATATTTATATGAATGAATTTATTAGCGATTCCCAGCAGCCTTTCGCGCTCGTATTCGACTTTTCCGCTTTGCTCGGCCTTGGGGGGCAACCTTAATTGAAATAGCTGTATATCCATATCGGCATATCGGATATCGGTAATTCATAATTATTATATCGGTATTGGGGTTTTTGTTGCCGATATTATTGGTATTTTATTATAAAAAATTTCTACAATATATTTTAAATATTTTAAGTATATGATTTGGGATTCCAATTGGGGTGTACTGAACACAACCCGAATGTTCAATATATAAATTCAATATAATTCTGTGAAACTCATTAATATTTCATGAAGATAACACAAACGAAATCATGCATGACCGTCAAGGCGTTTGTACATCTGATACAAAATCATGTTAATTTACATAAACTTTAACTTCAATTTTCTCACCATTCATTCAGTTTAAATTGTTGAAAAAATACGAATGTCTCAGGAAGTTTCAGAAATCAGGAAGTTTCACAAGGCATTTCCTTCGGCTTGAGTTTGTATACAGGGTGTATCAAAATAAACGCAATTCATCTTTTATGCTTAATAACTTTCGAAATACTATTTCCAGTTAAACGCTTTTAGGCTTACTTCAAAGCCTGTTCTTTTCTCTTTCAAACAAACTATTATCCTTGTCTCCAATGCTAGTAATAATTGCACAGGAAAAGATTTAGTAAAACCTATCATTTTTAGTTGCTGTTTAATTATGCAAGTTTACTATGTTATAGTTTAGTCGGTTTAAATGTTAGAATTTTCTTCTTTAAACTTTAATGTTGTCGTCACTACATCTGGAAAACCACGTAAGAACAAATTAAAATCCTAAACGAATGCTAAAAATCGTCAAAACATTCTGGTGTCTGAGCCAGAGTGTCATCGAATTGCGATGTAATGTAAACAGAAATTATAGCAAGTTGATGTCAGTCAGCTTAGATGGTCCAAGCCAACATTATATCGCATTTTAAGTTTAAAACTGAGTTAAAAATAGTGGAAGGAAAGCCGTAATTATACTTATTGTTACAATCCATTTAATAAAATGCAACATTTTTTTGTTTTAATGGAAAAAATCAGTTATTTTCATGAGAACGATTTGTTATTCCATCTCAATTTTTTTAATCTCCAATCGCAATAACGTAAAGTATTATTAGCCGCGAACCAATGAGTCAAATTTAAGAAACAACCCACTGTTAGAAAGCTCAATGGCTACGCTTTAAAATGAATGTAAACTTTAACGTTTTCGTCTATTATTTGTTTAGCAATTTACATTTCAATTGAGGATTGCGCTTTTTTTGATACACCCTGTACAACACGGCCGCTTATTTGGTAAATAGTGCATATAGGCATCTTCAAAGATAATGCATGCATGGCCAGTCTCAACTTATAGTTATTTATGATGAAGTTTCTACAGTAAAATAAAACATCGGTATCGGCCAATATCGACCCTTGCATGAATATCGGTAAATTCCATATCGGTACATCACTGATTAAAAATGATTATAACTTATGATTGTAAGTTTTGCCAAATATGTAAACGTGCATATGTTCATAAAACAAGGAAATTGAAGTAAGTCTAGTGTAATCCTTTATTTCCTACTGTATACTATACGAAAAATCCAGTTTAATTTCTGATGCGAATAACTTACGTGATAAGCCATCAATCCAAAAAGCGAGGAACGTTATCAAAAGATAAACTGATATGAAATCGAAACCATTCATTGCTAAAATATAAAAACATATGTATACTGTTTCAGGAAGTGGTTAAAAATTTCAAGTTTTGGACATCAATTGAAATCATGTATTAAATGGACATAAGGTGCCAACTATAATCAGGACGTGACGCACACATCTATGCTATACGCCGGGACATGCCCATCACGATATATCACAGATGTAGTTGAGTTAATTGGATTTACTTAATTTATCATCATGCCAATCGCAACAAGGAAGCTGGATAGCCAGGGACGCTGGAACGATAATAGGGCAAAGGGGGGCGGACGCACACCAAGGGCACCTTTACTGAAATATTTTTTTTCACTGCAAAATTTTTTGGCGACCTCCCCCCCCCCGTCGCCAAAAAAATTTCGGTCAGTGTACCATTTTAGGGGTCAAAAATTTTTTCCGGACATACAAAAATTTTCCGTGAAGCCAAAAATTTTTCCGCATATCTTAAATTTTCGCCATTTCTTCAAAATATTTTTCTAAATTCCAAAAATTTCCCAAAATTTTTATAAATATAAACTATAAATTACCTGAATCTCGTGATTTTCCTACAAAAAGCATCGTTGGAAATGTGATTTATCACGTATTATTTTACAACTAAAAGGGCACTTCTGCCCCCCCTGCCCCCTTAGCAAAAGGCAAGGGGGGCAGCCGCCCCCCCTGCCCCCCCCCCAGGTCCGGCGTCCCTGTGGATAGCACTATCCACAGGGTGGCTATTTCTTCAAGCGTCCTAAATTTGTACGTTGAATAGTATATAACCCTGATTGAACTTTAGTATTTATAAATTGAAATTTCTTTTTGTTAATGGCTGATTCCAGCTATAGAGGAAATTTTGATCAAGAGAAGAAGAATGGAAATCCATTACCATAGCTGGAAAGAGCATCTTAAAATGACTACAATTGCAAAGTTTGGTTGCGAATTGTTGTAAAATGAGGAAAATATAACCCGGTGAGGTTCCCAAATTTTGTGATATATTTGCATTAAGCGCGGGGAAAATAACCATTTTTGAGCCGAAAGTGGTTTAATTTGCGAACTTTGCGAACTTTTGCGAAATTTGCGAACTTTGCAGGGCTAAATTTTCTTCATTTTACACTATACATTTAGCAACCAATCTTTGCAGTTTTACTCATTCTATTAAAGACGCTCTTTCTAGCTATGGTGTTGCATTTCGTTCTTCTTGCCTTTGCCAATATCCGTAATTTAATAGCTTTTTAGGCATTTTTACAATGTTTGAAAAAATAACTATCCATGCAGTCATCGTACAACCAGCTCCAGAGCCTCTATGTACTACTACATGAGGTGACGATCATGCGCGAAGCGTGATGATATAACGTCAACTGCTAATCACGTAAATGAAGCGTTATCGAGTAAAATCGTCTGGCGCTAGCAGAGTAAAATAATAAGGTATAGTCCATGTGTTGTGACCTCGAAAAGTGCCTAGAAAACGATTTTCATTAAGCATGTCTTAGATCTGAAATATTTTTACGGGAACTAACACTTTCGAACACGCTGAGTTCAAATCCGAAAAGTTCCCACTCCGTAGACCCGCAGTTTTTTCACAAAATGCTATTTTATCTTCACTAATTTCACAACAAATTTTTTCATTGTTCAACATCACTGATCGATGACGATACACGATTATGTCACTCAAAAGGACCAATTTCTATTAACCATTCTTCCTTTTAACAAAAGACCGGTTTCGCTCGAATCATTTTGAGTTATGTAATCTTATGCGTGTTGGACGTAAACAACATATCTTGTCTACAACTTTGAGAAGGTACAGATAATTCCTTCTAATATCCTTAGTTCTGGATCTATTTCTATAAAATCACAAGGACGTTAATGTCAAGTCTTTGGGCTATGTCTCTGGGCTGAGAAATAATTCCTTACATGCGATCAAAATGTTTTATACAAAGATATAAAACGGTAATCTATATGTAATGGATCAGCACTGAAATTTCCAACACGGTTTCCAAGACCTAATTCAAGAGATAACTTATCATTGCATTTGAACTATTACATCAGTTGGTGTTATGCTGTGCGATAAGCGAGTATTATTGGAAAGAGGGCTTCTATATATACGTCGAAATCATCAAATAAACAGCTCAGGCACACATTTCTCCACTTCGCGGTAAGTTTACAGAGCGTATTTTATACTTTGTGACTGATCTTTGTCTTTGATGTGAACATTTATTCTTATAGTTTAAGGTTATTTAAGATTGATCCTGTCGTAAGTCTTCTACCTGCAACCATTCGACAATATTTCGTTTTAGCGTTATCTTTGCCGTTACGTTGGCTTCGCGTTACTTTTGTTTTAAATATCTTGATCGCGTTAAAAGAGTTATTTTTCAGGCCAGTGACATAGCTAAAAGACTTGACATTAACGTCATTGTGATTTTATAGAGATATCTCTAGAACTGAGGATTTTTGAAAGCGTTATCTGTACCTTCTCAAAGTTGTAGACAAGATATGTTGTTTACGTCCAACACGCATAAGATTGCATAACTCAGAATGATTCGAGCAAAACCGGTCTTTTGTTTAAAGGAAGAATGGTTAATAGAAATTGGTCCTTTTGAGTGACATAATCGTGTATCGTCATCGATCCGTATCGTTGAACAATGAAAAAATTTGTTGTGAAATTAGTGAAGATAAAATAGCATTTTGTGAAAAAACTGCGGGTCTACAGAGTGGGAACTTTTCGGATTTGAAATCAGCGTGTTCGAAAGTGTTAGTTCCCGCAAAAATATTTCAGATCTAAGACATGCTTAATGAAAGTGAACGATATCGGGTCACAACACACGGACTA